TCTTGTTTTCTGGTTTGATGTTGTGAAAACAGTCAAATACAATAGTTTGAGGACTTATTTTGATGTTTGGACTTAGCATCCGCTAGTTGCCCCCCAGTCAACCGCTTGTTTGCCCCCAGTCAACTCCAAAAAGTCACGTGATTGATAGTAAGCAATTCCAAGAATTTTTATGTATTGAATAAATGTAAAAACGTACGGTCTTGAAAAAACCATCGTAAATAAATTTTCCTGGGCTACTGGTAGAATTTAAAAGATGAATAACAAAAGATAGTTTTCCCTTGGCCTTGTTATGCTCTTCTGAATCAAGGCCTTTAAAAATTCGAATATTGGCTTTTAGTTTGAATCATAAATTAACATAAATAGAAGTTCCTTGCTTTTATTAAAACCCTTTTAAAGCTTTCGTTGACTGGCATAATCTATTATATTTTACATATCTACATATAAAAATAATCAAAGGCTTTGTAAATCAAAAAAAATTCATTTTATTTTTTCAATAGCATTCGTGTGGGCAGACGAATAGTTCCTGCTAATTAAAAACATGTTTAATGACCTTGAAGTTTATCTAAAAGGCCGGAATATTAAACTTGCTAAACTTGTTCCTCAGTAATTTATGGCAAATTATTTATATGTCAGAAATTGCATCAGTAAATATAGTAAAATATGTTTTTAAAGGCCTATTTTTCCAAGAAATATGTTTTTTAAGTTATTCTCAGAAAAAAACGTATATCTTGAAATATTTGTCTGCATTAAAGATGAAACTACTAGGAGTATTCTAAAAGATTCTCAATTTTTTTTTGTGCATAAATGAAAATTTTAAAGGTTTAGGACCTATTTTCATGAATCATAGGCCTTTCAGCATCATTTGTAATAGAAAAAGCTGTTCAATTTTAAACTTTAATCTAACAAAAATAGAATATATTTTAGAAGCATATTTTTAAATATTCATTTGAAATATTTTCTTTTCCAGTACTGGTTCTATTATTTTAGCAGTTTGATCGATTCGTCTTCGAAATTGCATTCTATCTGTTGCATAATTTTTCCAGTGTCCTATTCTTGCTTGGCRATAAGCAAAATCCCAAGCGATAATTTCATGAACTTCGGGCTTATCTACTTGAAACTGGACTCTTTTCTTTTTTGGAACAATGCTTGTGCTGTTACTTAAATCATTTGTTCTTGTCTCGGTACTCTCAATGTCTTTTTTGTCCTGGGATTTCTTGTGTTCCTGAAAAACACCAAAGTCTACTTCGTCACAAGAACAACGGTAAGGGTCTGGTAATGTTTGAGCAATTCTTATTCCTAATGTAGAGTGACAGCATGTGTTCATAGACATAGCAACAGAGATTTCCTCTGCTGTGCCTTCGAAAACAAAGCCATCAAAGCTGCATATGTCAGCATCTTCACATGAAGAATCAGCATCAAAAACTATGAAATCTTCTTCATCAGAGCTTTCACATTCAGAGTCCAATTCATCTGAAAGTCTAATATCGGATACTAAGGCATCACTAGAAGTTGTCGAATCTTCGGTAACTCCAAAACCAACACTCATACAAATGAGTTTTCCTTCTTTGTTGTAACGACAGTCAGACACATACAAAGTGACGCCCTCTTCTTCAATACAGGTGTAAGCTGATTCTACGGATGGAAAGGACTGGTACCCTGAATCAATACTTGCTGCACTGCTGCAGTGTTTTTCACAGTTAGCCAATGCTGAATCGTCTGGCTTCAATAGATCCATCTTTTCTTTTTCTTTTTGTAGAAGGCCATGATAAAAATCTTTGAAAATACACTCTTCTAGCACACCCATGTCTTGTTTCTTTGTGTTAAGAGAAGATGGTAAAATTTCTCTTGGAAGAAGAGAATAATTGTCCTCAAACATTGCCTCAGTCTTAAAATTCTTGTCCCCCATTTCTGCTGCCTCAGAAACGCTATGTAATTTGAAATATTCTTGAGCACAACAATCAGATTGATAACTGTTGGGAATAAAAGTCTTTTCAGTTGTTTTAGAAGTAGCAATCATCATCTTTGCCACCAAGATATACGGCAACTTCTTGGAAGTCCTTAAACTTGATAACATTAAGCTATTCCAGGGATTTTGATTTGTTTTTAACAGACATAATCTAGTATCTATCCTTTCTTCACTATAGTGAGGAATTTTCTTGTAAGACAGTCGTGGAGTTGCCAGATCTTTAAATAAAAAGCAAGAAGCATTAGTTAGTACACTGATGTTTATTTCCTCGTTTTGAGTTTCAAAAACATCACATTAGGAACATGTCCATTCTCATCTTGCAAGACTCAACAATACATGTCATTAATTCTTAATCTCAYGCAAACTGTTAATTTTTCAAACAAAAATGGAATTTTTATAGACACTGGAGAAATGCATATGTGTAAAATATAGTTTGCCAAATCTCCATTTTCTCCATTGAAGAAATCAGTGAATACACTGCTGTCAATTAGAGTATGTAAAGATACTGAACAATTCATATGATTGACACTGTCCTGATGTTGTCTTGACCAGCCCGTAGCGATGAAAACAGTGGTAACACATAAATCATAAAATTCCTAGAAAAACTCGGCATAGATTCGGTTTCCTACACGACATCCTTAGATATGAAGACCATTAAAATGCTTGATAGATACTGAACAAGTTTTAGCAAGAAAACAGATGTATAACTTGAATAAATATATTATTAGGGCCTATATTGGAGCTTTTAAGGCTAAAAATAAAACGCAGCATATTGCATAATACATATTCTTTATTTAGTGAATACTATAAGCTTACGACTCGAGTGTATATTTTTTGACTAGAATTGCACATAGTTCACAGCGTTTATAGCTGAGTCACTTTTTTATTTATTTTCGATCTCACGCAAGTTCCTCCAGAATTTCATTCTACAAATTACTAACCTTTTATCCACAAAAATAAACGATTATCCAGAAAATGAAACAGTCCAAAAGTCCAAACTCGAAGCAGGAGGCGTAGGAATCCATTCATTAAATATCCCAACATCTTGAAGGCTGAAATTTTTTCTCCAACTTCTTGGAAAATCTTGATAAATAATTCTATGATTCCTAAAGCAGGATTCAGCTTTTACCCTTTGTTTATCTCTTCTTGAGGACAAGGAAAAATACCTTGATGACTATAAATATAAACCCAGTGATGGKTATCAGTATTGTTCGTTAAATATTTTCGCTGTTGACACGCTTTTGCTATTTCCAGATGATTTTTCTTGTTATAATTTTTATAATACTCAATGCAATCCATAATGTGTCTCTTGTTTTCTTTGGCTTGTATTGTTGGTATGTTACCAACAACGTGATGAGGGACACTTWTATACCCCTGATCAGTCCCCACACGGGTTTTCGATGACTCAGATGCCAAAGTTGGAAGGATGATGCAATAAATGATGGCGGGCGGTTTTGAGATGACTTCCAGCACGATTTCAAATTCCCCAGTGATTCTGGCTTCAGATTTAATCCAAACTTTCCCGATCGCTGTAGAATTATCCTTTATGCTTTCTTGAGGTTCTTGGAAGGGRTTCGTTCACCAGAGAAGGCTTTAAATAACGTTTTTCTAGTAGAGCGTAGAAGGCACGTCCGAACCGCCCGCCATTTCTCGACCCTTCGAACGTGACGCGGGAAACGCGGACAAAGATTCACGTTACGCCGGAAATGAAATTTGAGCTTGGAGTTTTACTTCCGCCGGAAATAAAAATAGACCTTTGTCCAAAAATTTTAATACGATATATTCTGTAGCTTGGAAACCTTTTGAGGGGAAAACATCGAAAATTGAAAACTGCCGGGCATTTAATCCATGCCCGGCTGTCCTACCAGGCTGTCTGAAATGATGAGAAATTTTTCTTAGTGCAACGAAGAGAGTCGTCAGTATTCTGTGCAGAGAAAAGACAAACACGTCAAATTGAAATCTATGTAGCAGAGGATAATTGCTAAAAGTTTCTGTACACGAAATGAAAAATAAGGTTTTTAGAGGATTTATTTTCGAACCGTCAAAAGAGTAAAAAAATAAGAAAAACCGATGCTTGGATTCCCTGTGTTACGAGTAAGAGCGAGGACTGGAGCAAGCGCGGGAAGAACCAAGTTTGCTTTTTTCAATGTTGTGAAAGAATTTCTCCTTTTATTCCAGAAAATAAACCCTTTAAAGGTATGCAATTAGTTCAATTATATCACATATTAATTCATTGTTATTAACAGCTGTTGCTTGAATTGGTATTGTTTATTTTTTGGCGAAAATTTATTGATATTTTGTTCAATATACTTGACAAGTCGACAAGCTGAACTGCATTCAAACTCATTTGAAGATCCATTTTCTATCCTTGGAAATTTAATGAATTTTTCTAAAATAAGATATTGAGGTTTCTTTATCGAAGGTAAAGATGTCAGACGTTAATGCTTGGGCAAGTATAGATGGATTATTTGATGACCAAGATGATGAAGACAGTGCTGAGACTTCGCAACGAGAGGTAAGGAAGGGATCATTCATACTTATGGAAGGAAGGGGGGAGGCCAGGGGGGTACTCTTGCCCGTTTAGGGTAGGGATGTGCCACTGAGCCCTCTGAACCCTCACCCTGTTCCAGAGTAAAATCGCTGAAATTCATACCCTGTTCCAGAGCAAGATCGCTGAAAACCATACCCTTTTCCAGTAGTGCGAAAATAGATACCCTGTTCCAGAGAGGAGAGAGCATGATTTCATATACCCTGTCCCAGAGCGAGCACGATTTTATATACTTTGTTCCAGAGTAGAATCGCTGAAAACCATACCCTGTTTGGCAGCACGTACCCACATAGCGAATATAGGGGAGTACCCCCTGGGAGGGCGTGGGTTGGGGTGAGAAAAAAAGGGGGTCTTGAAATAATTAAGAATCTCGAAAAAGTTGGAAATAAAGAGGAAATTCTGAAAACCGCTACACAATTCCTATGATGTTTCAATCAAAGCTTTTTGCATTTCTTCCGATGTAGGTTTTTGGTGCCAGCAAAGATAACCTGATATTAGCCATTGATTGTTCACCATCAATGTACAGGGTGGTTGGTGAGGAATCTCATTTTCAGTTATCTATAAAGGTAAATATAAATTCTGTTCATGAGCTCTACTAGATGCATGACTGCATCCACTCAGGCTTCTTGTTGCGAAATTTGCAAAAGTACTATGAAAGATACATATTTCTCCTACGACACCTTTCAGGAAAGAAGATAATAGTATGTCAATAGAGCCCAGGGTCTGGTTGTATGAAGGATGGATAGCAATATCTGATAAATAAATCTTTATCCATTGGATAAATCTATTGGATAACAGCATCAACTTATCCACTGGATAAGGATTTATCAGTCAGGTAGTGCTATTAACCCTTCATACAACTGGCCCCAGATAACAAATTGTGACAGTATCACAAAATAAAAAAATAAAAAAACAGCATTTGTCACCTTGGGACATGAAACCTGAGTAATTAGGCAGATTTTCATATAGCTTGAATAGCATGCTTGAAACTTGTGAGGAAATAAATGGTGACTGGTCAAAGTAGTAAAAATATAGTATTAAAAAGTCCAATTTTCTCCCTTTTTCTAACACAAATAGTTTCAATGCTCAGCTTAGTTCAACAATAGCATTCTCATTTGTTTTTCAGTGTGCCATCAATATAATGAAAAGCAAGATCATAAGCAGTGACAGAGATTTGATTGGAATTGTTTTCTTCTCAACTGTGAGTAAATTAATGTGTACTTGAAGGAAAGGTACAATTTTTACTAAGGGGGAGGGGAAGGGGAAAAGCTGGGGCTTCAAAGGGGAGAGTCATCAGTATGCATCAGTAAAAGTTTAAACTTTAGTAGAGGGTCAAAACTTTTGTATTTTGACTAAAGCATTAAAAGTAACAATTCCAAATCATAATTGTATCATCGCTCTATAATCCCATGTAAGCAACTATTGTATTATTTTCAAATTCTCTTTCCTGTCCAAATTAAASATTATTTTGGATCGTTTCCATTTGCATTCTTTCAAGGGAAAACTATGACTTCTGGAATCAGTCTTGTATAGTAGTTTGGGATGATATAATTAATCTGCAATAGGACTACATGTCTGTCCAATTTGAAAATAATTGAATTCCAAAAATTCCTCTGACTGCCAGATTGGACTGGGCCTATCAGCCTCTTCCAATTTTGTTAGTACTCGAAATTTTTTTCATCCAATTATTTTCAAATTGGCCAGCATGTAGTCCTATTACCTATACTAATTCTCTCAACATTTTTTATAATATTTCCTTTAGAAAAGCAACAAAGGCAAGGATGATACTAATAAACATATATATCAGGTAAGTCTGTCCAGGTTCAAATTCTCTATTACTCAGGATTAGCCTCTGTTTTGTACATGTAGAATATTCACATGTTTCTTTACAGGTCCGTGGGATTTCAAATTTTTTGAAGTATTTTTGAAGTTGTGAATACTTATAATATGTGAATATTAGGCGACCATGAGTAAATGCGTAGGTAATCAAGGAACACAGTTTTGTATGCAGAATATTCCAAATTGTAGTTAGATAGCTTATTGGTTATAGCTCAATACGTTATAGGAGGGAAGGAAAGAAAGGAAGAAAGAAGGAAAAATGTCATTTTGCATTTTATTTTTAGGAACTGGACCAACCTGATGCTCAAAGAATCCTTGACTTGGAGAAACTATTAGAAGGTAATAATTGATTTTGTTTTTAGACGTGTGGCCCAAATKTTACTGGAAGAATAGATTTTCCCTTGCTTGGTCTCACATTCAATAAGAGTTTCAGGACATGATTGAGTGGGTTTAAACAAAGGTTATTATTCACCATGGGATTAAAATGGTGCTATGTGTTTGCCCTGTGTTGAAGGTCCATGGGTGGTGTGTGCTGCCTCTTCTTGTTGTGGTTGGGAGTCCTTTGCTTTGTGTGTCTGGCTTTTTCCCCCTCCATAAAAATGAACTCTTGAATTCCAAATTCAGGGCTGATGAACATAACTCTGGCAGAACATAACTCTGGCAGAATGATTTCATTAACAGATAACTCATGTGATGTTTTTGAAAACTCTCTTCATGATGTTCTGTGGACTTGTTCAAATATGTTTTCACAAAGGTAAGAGAGTTGAATCATTGAGAACAAAACTAGTCATCGTTAATGTTATAATTCTCTGTTTTAAAACCACATTTTCAATCTAGTTTGTAAGAGAAAAATGTTCTTTCATTCCTATTTTTCTAATTTCGTTTCACTTATTTTTTCCCATCCCCTCCCCTCACAGTTTTTCCCTTCATTCTTGTGCTCTTAATTTGTATCTCATTAAAAAAATGTCAACAAAAAAAAATCATTTTGTTTTCATCTCATTTCTTTCCCATAATTTTCCCCTTTTTCATTATTCTTATGCCACAGCAGTAACCACATTTTGTTCTCTCTAGTACTCAAAAGTCTGGTTATAAAAGAATGATGTTGTTTACAGACAATGATAATCCTCATTCAGATGATAAACAACTACAGGTACAGTACATGTACTTTGTGATCAACAAATTGTCAAAAAATGTGATAATAGAAGGGAAAGTCTAAAAATCCAATTTCAAAGTGAAGACTGTTCAAATAATGAGATAACCTTCCTTTGGTAAAACTTTTAAATAACATAACTACCCCCGTGCCTCCCATGGATATGTATATTTACATCAAAGAATTTTTGCGTGAGTCACTATTATGTCTTTGGTTCTTGTAATCATCCCTTGTTATATAATTGGCAAAAAAATGGTGGTTGAGGATGAACTGGTACATATGGTAATATACAGCCGATCTTAGTACTGGTATTTTACTGCTTTTTTACTTTTGCCTCTTATGGGAAAAATCTAGGAGAGAAGGGCCTATGCATGGCTTTCATGTGTTTATAATATTTAACTGTTTATCTAATTTTTACATTTTTAGAACCTGGCAAGAACTAAGGCAAGGGTATGTATTGAACTGTGATGGTGATGTTGATAGTGATGATCATGATGATGATGGTGATTATGTTAATAATGACCGAGATGATGATGGTGAGAAAGTGCTAAATATGGTGGCAGAAGTGGTGGTACTGACTGATTAAGAGTATGATGATGGTGATGATGGTGATAATGGTGATAGTGATAATGATGTGTTGGTGGTGGTGGTGATGATGATGGTGATTATGTTATAATATAGCACTAATGATGGTGGCAGAAGTGGTGGTAGTGACTGATTAAGAGTATGATGAAGGTGGTGATAATGATGATGATGGTGGTGTAAGTCAAGTGTCCACAAGGTATTAGAGACCTTTAGCCTTTAACATTCTTACTAGTCCCACAAACCTCAAACTGCAGTTCGATGTCAGGTGTTTTCCGTCAAACTTTCAACATTTATCAAGGCGTCATAACGAAGTTGTCGTTGGAAGAGTGCCCATATTAAATTTCATTGATGCCAAGTGTTTCTCGGTGTTTGCAGGTGTTTTTCGGGGCTTGATTCCTAGTGGTTAGTGGCAAACACGATGCTAAAGGTCTCTATTATGTCAAGACTACCTGACATCTTTTTTTTTTCTAGGACCTATCAGAAATTGGTATCAACATAGAACTAATGCACATCCTCCCCCCTGGGGGATCATTTGACCCTCAACTATTCTACCAGGTAATAACAGACCTTTTTAGCTTGGAGCGTAATGTTTTTCTATCATGTCATTCTCTTGAGAATTAGATTCTTTTTTTGAGTTGTATCCAAATTCATGTGTGCAAGCGTTAAACAAAGAAATGATACTCAAGGTAATGACATGTGATCTGAATGGGAAAGAGGTCTATTTTCAGTATTACCAATGTTTATAATATTTAATAAGTTTATCTTTTTTTTCTTATCTTATTACTCCTAACTCTTACTCTGATGTAGGACTAATGACTTTGTTCAAAATTTCAGTACAGTAAGGCCTAGGGCAAACGTCTAACTTTCCATGCACCGAACTCATTAAAAACAATGGATATCAGGTGATAATGAAGCGGCATTCTTTGATGTAATTAAGTTCGGTGCATGGAAAGTTCGATGTTTGCCCTAGGCCTTACAAACTTTTTTGCATTGTGTTTAGGTTTCCTTCTAATCCACTTAACACACAACACAGTCTCAACTAGTAACTGCTTGTCATAATTAATTTTTCTATTACTATTAGGATATAATTTCTGATGATGATGAAGATATACAACTGCCTGATCCATCAGAGAAATTTGATGAATTACTTTCAAGGTAATCCCCCCTTATGAAAAAACTAGCAAAATGGGGGTGGCTGAGGTTGGTCAATTATGTGGGTGTGTCGGGGGGAGGGGGATCTTGACTCTTTCATTAGTCACATCCTTAAATCAATCATTAAGAAGTCTTGGAATGGTTTATTGAGTACATTCAGACAGAACTTTTGATATAGGTTTTTGCATTATTTAAGAATTCTTAATTGCATAATTGTTTTTAAATATTTTGCCAGTATAGCTTCTTAAGACATAAGTGAAAATCATAGCACGCATGCACAGGTGCTCAATAAAACCATTTCAGGCCTCTTTAAGTCAACCTGTTAATCAATTCACCTTTTCGGCGCTAGCTTTCACGGGGTATAAATTGTTTTAGATTGTGTTACAATCACCAAAAAGTTTGGACATTGTTCTCAAATTGCCATACAAATGTACTGTACTGACTCTAAATGAACTATTTACTTGGTTAATGTTTAGTTAGTTCTCTAAATACAAGTAAATGATCATTTTTCTAGCTTGATTGAAGCTTTTCTTACTGCTGTTAAGATAGCTAACTAAAGAAATCTTTCTAAATTTTCTTTTTAAAGTTAGTGATTTTGTATGGAAATCTGAGAACGATGTCCGAATTTTTTAGTGACCGTAACACAATCCAAACTGGCGCCAAAAAGGTGAATTCAGTCAGGTTGTCATTCATTTATTTCATTTTCTTAGGGTGCAGAAGAAAGAACACAAGAAGAGACCTTTGGCCAGCATCCCTTTTACTCTCGCTGATGGTGTTGATATGGGTATTAGTGTGTACGTATCATTATTACCTCTTGTTACGGCAGACACCCTCCACACTGTCACTTTGTGTCCATAATAGCATCCGCAATAGCAAGAAAAATTTATCGGACAATTTTTTTTAGCATTATTTTGGGGCGGGGATTTTGCTCTCGGCAAGAGCAAGCAGTCCATAATATCAGGGTGTCCACAATGCAAGAGTTCACTGTATAAAATCTCACTATGTGTTCTCTGATTGGTTCAGAAATGTGCCGTATTAATAGGATGAAGCATGTGCTGATTCCATTCATGTGCAGTCTTCTTCGTTCTATGCACAGTTTTACCAGTATTAAAATAATAGTTAACTTCTTATGATGATAAGATTCAACTTGTGCCGCCCAGCTACAAAGTCAAGCACCGTAAATCTCAACAGCCGCACGAATGAAGAAATAAAGACACACACAAAATACATTTGCAAGGTAAAATATCAAAGTCTGGCATCAATAGTACTGATATTAACACCTGATTCTCTCCTGGGGGGTTTATCTGGGTTCTTCGTTTTTCCTCCCTCTGTAAAAATCAACATGTGAGTTCAGCATTGCAGGTCTGTTGTTAATAGTGAAGTTGGTGGTAGTGGGTGTGCAGCTAACCTTGCAGAAGAGCAGCCCAAAGAAATGATGGTCGTGAAAACAAGTTTATTTGTCTTTCATTATTTGTTAATTCAATAAGTGATTCTTTTATCTGTTTGTTCATTCATTTATTCAATTGGTAATTCTATTTTTCATTCTTTCTTTCATTCTTGCATTTAATCAGCCATTCTTTTGTTCCTTTATTAATCCTTAGTGGTGTTTATTTACCTCAAATGTTAGCATTCATTCATTCACTCAGTCATTTATTTGTTTGTTCATTTGAGGGTCCTTCATCCATCAGTCCATCCATCCATCCATCCATCCAAACATACGATTAAGTGAAAAGAAATCAATATAAAAATAAAAGATTTCAATAATTCTCTTTGTTATACAGGATACTGGTTCTGAACTTATGCCGACAGACATTAAATACTACCAAATGTTTGGAGGAGAAAAGGTACCCTTCATAAAAACTTGTTTTACATTCTCTGTACAGGTTTACAAACAATATCACCCCCAATACAATACAATACAAGATGTTTATTTAGTGCCGTAATATATATAAATAAAATTACAATGTACATTTTGAATCATTCTTGTGATAAATACATATATATATAATCAGTATTACATTGTACATTTAGTTTGTTCCTTATTTTAAAGCACAGGCTATTATTGTAACAACCAGTACGTCTGAACTACACAATTAGCTAGAAAAATCATTAGGTTGTTGGTTATCTGTAGGGTTGGGTAACAACAAGGATATCACTAGTGTAATAGTGTGATGTTGGTCAATAACCCATTTATTGACATTGATTTGAGGGATGATTGTTTACTTATGCCCTCATCTGAAAAAAATGGGTAGATTGCAGTTTGTTAAGGAAGTCGACTTGCTATTTTATCATTTTGAAAATCTTTTTTCTAACTTTAGGTAATATTTGAAAAAGAAGAAGTAGCAGCTATGAAAAACTTTGGAAATCCAGGTAATTTAGTAACATACCTTGATATTTTTTAACTCCTCCAAAAATAATGCATGTATCTGTCTGTCTGTCTGTCTGTCCATCCATCCATCCATTCCTTCCTCCCTCCCTCCATCCATCCAAACATTCACCCATCTATTCATCCATCCATACCTCCGACTATCTGTCCATCCGTCCGTCCATTCCTTCCTCCCCTCTTCCATCCCTCCATCTGACCAATCACCTAGAATAAAGTGGTCAAATTATGACATGTCATAATTACTGGTATTATTCAATGATTAATAAAATAGGATCAATTTTATTTCTTCTAGGTTTACTGCTGATGGGATTCAAGCCTAAGAAATCTCTCAAGCGTCTTTATCACATTAAGTCATCACACTTCATACATCCTGATGAAAAGGTAAAAACTATTGGAACTAAAAGGTATAGAGGTCATTTACCAGCCACAAGGTCAGGATAGAGAAAACCTTTGTCTAAGGTACTCTTAAATAAAGGCCAATGACACAGTTTTTTTTCCTATTTCGACCAACTATAGATCCCTTGCATGTGACGTAGAAGCAGGAATAATATCCAGAAAATTGGAAACTTATTGTTATTTCCTCCAGATTGAGCTGCATTCTGACGGACAGCAAGGGCTCTATAGGATGGACAGTAAATGACCTTTCTTTTCCATTTATTCTTTGTCTTGTTTTGCGTTTTTGTTTTTGTTGGGCAATCCGTAATTAATCCCAGGATACCAAAATGCAGTTAGAGATAGAAAATACCACCTGCTCAACAGCTATTCAAAACACAGGATTTTAGGATACCAGACTAGAAGAAAATAACTTGGGTATTTTTCTTGCATATTTTTTTTCTTCATTTTTCTCTTTTTTTTTTTGTTTTTTTAGTCAGTGTCTGGTAGTACAACTCTGTTCTCAGCTCTTCTGAAAAAATCATTGGAGAAAGAAGTTATTCCTATTTGTAGATACATTCCAAGAGCTGTTTCTGCACCATCCTTTGTTGCCCTTCTTCCCCAGGTTTGTAACAAATATCTCTATTGATCCATTCATTTATTATCCATTCTTTAATTAATTGACTTTATTAGTCGTCATGTAAAGTTTTCCTATTACAGACCATGTGTCGATTATTTCAAAGCGTATCCCACTACTTTGTTGAATAGTTGCACATGACACAACACATGAAACTTGATTATTACAACTCAAACAAAGAATCTTATTCTCAAGAGAATGACATGGTGTGGTGTGTACTTGGGAAACATTGAGAGAAATTGCAATTTATTCAAAAATAATTTATTTGTCAATGAGTAATTTTTCTTTTTTTTTTCATTTTTTCTTTCTTGCCCTTTGTTGGCCTTATTAATCTTAGAACTTCCTTTCGTTTTTATTATTAAAACTAATTTATTTGCTATCTGCCAGAAAGAAGAGTTTAATGATCATAAAGTGCAGATCACGCCCCCTGGATTCCATGTCATCTTCTTGCCTTATGTCGATGACATGAGAAAGTTGCAGTACCCCAAAATGCCAAAAGGTATGTGTATCATGGAATCAGGAATGAAATAGCAAAAGACATGACATTCATGTTGRTTTGTTAAATTCAACCAAGATTGCGGCTTTGGTAGCAGCCAATCAGAATGCAAATCTAGACTGATCAAAGTCAGGGCACGACTAACTCACAGATTGAAACCTGAAACAACCTCTGGGCTGATCTAAGTCAGGGAATAGCTAACTCACAGATCAAACCCTGAAACAACCTCTGGGCTGATCTAAGTCAGGGCATGGCTAACTCACAGATCGGACCCTGAAACAACCTCTGGGCCGATCTAAGTCAGAGCATGGCTAACTAACAGATTGAACCCTGAAACAACCTCTGGGCTGATCTAAGTCAGGGCATGGCTAACTCACAGATTAAACCCTAAAATAACCTCTGGGCTAAGCTAAGTCAGGGCATGGCTAACTCGCAGATTAAACCCTAAAATAACCTCTGGGCTGAGCTAAGTCGGGGCATGGCCCAATCACAGATTAAATCCTGAAAAAAACCTCTCAACTAATCTATTGTAAGTCTGAGCAGAGAAAACCAGAGAACCCAGAGAAACACCCTTACAAAATCTACTCAACACTTACATGTATGGTGCCACTGAGGAAGTCCAGGAATAGGCCCTTTGCAGTTAA